GATTCTTTTAATTGAAAATGTTGTGAATGGGCCAGGAATTCATGCATTTTTCTAGGGAGAGGCTGGACAGAGTAACTGGAATATTAAAAAGTTGTTTCCACATATTAAATGTTTACATTTTGATTTTCAGTGAAATAGCCCACACAAAACAAGAATCACTGAACTGAAAACCTTCTATTTATGTTTCAGTTGGAATTTTGTGTATGGACCACAGAATTGAAGTTCACATCTCTCTGCAGACACAGTATAAGCATTACTGCCAATCTGCCTTAACTCTTTTGTCTATTGGGACTTCCTTAATTAGAAAAATACTACCAAGAGAGAACTTGATGGGGGTTTAGAAAAATATGTACACTGTACAGAAAATGAATGGGTTTCAGCTTCTCTCTTATTATGTATTTGTTTAAATTACGTATATGCCACTTTTTTCTTCAAGAGAATCCAAGGCAGCTTAGAAAATTAAACCAAACAATATTTAAAAAATTTGAAAATTGCAATATTAGTATCTAATATATAGTATGACCTAATGAAATACATTGGCAGAGGATTCAGTAAGGTCAAAATGGAGTATTTATTCACATAGTGACTAGTTAATGTATAGAATTCACTGCCACAAGATGGGATGATGGCCACTAACACATATGGCTTTCAAAGGGTATGAGATACCTTCTTGCCAAATGAGTGTATTAGTAGTTTTTGAATGTGGCAACTCTGTAGAAACACTGGATGGCTCAGTGATTTAGGCAGAGATTGGGAGTTCAGTTCCGCACTGGGCCTCCTTAACAAGGGCTGGACTCAATGATCCATAGGCTCTCTTCCAGCTCTGCATTATTATTATTATTTAGTGTTTTGAACAGGTGACTGACGCCCAGCTAACACCTGAAACCCCAGTGAGATTTCTGGAGAAAAAGGGGATTTTATATAGAGAGACCCTGAGGAATATCTCAAAAGGGGGAGATGGGCAGAAAGAGTAGTACACAAACTATATGTTTCGCATACCACTCTAAGAGATGCTGGTTGAATTGTCTTCTTCGAAAATGATGCTTGACACATTCTGAAAGCAGTTACATATAAGTGTTGTTTTGTTTAGTCATTAAGTTGTGTCTGACTCTTTGTGACCCCATGGCACACCAGGCCCTCCTGTCTTCCACTGCCTCCCGGAGTTTGGTCAAATTCATGTTGGTCGCTCCGATGACACTGTCCATCCATCTCTGTCATCCCCTTCTCCTCTTGCCTTCACAGTTTCCTAACATCAAGGTCTTGTCCAGGGAGTCTTCTCTTCCCATGAGATGACCAAAGTGTTGGAGCCTCAGCTTCAGGATCTGCCCTTCCAGGGAGCACTCAGTGTTGATTTCCTTCAGAATGGATAGGTTTGTTCTCCTTGCAATCCAGGGGACTCTCAAGAGCCTCACTGATGCCTAGGATGTCAGTGTTTATTCTTGCCATCTCCTGTTTGGCCACATCCAGCTTCCCAAGGTTCATAGATCTTACATTCCAGGTTCCTATGCAGTCTTTTTCTTTGCAGCATCAGACTTTCCTTTCATATATGAGTGTATGTGTTCATTATTCATTTGTTGCATTTATACCCCATCATTCTGCCTATGAAGGCCAACCAGAGGGTTACTGTTATAGGATTTTTGAGGTATGTAAAGTATTGAAGGACTTGTATACCTCTGTTATAACCCAGTGAATGTCCATGGTGGATTTGGGATTTGAATCAATTACATCACATTGGCTGTCTGTAGGAGGGTAGCTCTTTTAAATGTAAAATAATAATATAATCCATTGGAGATGTGCTATTTTGGGGACCTGTTCAGGAATAGGGGGAATTGGTGCAATTTACTGAAAGGGTTTTGAAAGCAGGAGGTCTCCACTATTCTTTTGCATAAATTGGTCTTTGAAAAAAAATGCCTAATTTTTTAACTCTAGAAATACATTGTGTTATATGATCATATAAGAGCAACAAATGTTGGTAAGTATTTTGTCTGCTCCTGTGGTCATCCCCTGTTCATTCTGCACAGTTATCCCCTGGTCAAACATTGATCTTGTAAGATGGCATGCAATGGACAACTACAAACTGTGAAAAACACTTCCATGATTGCCCTTGGATATATTTTTTTTGTTTGTTTGTTTGTTTGCAATATGACATTGGCCCAGTTGTCTAACAAGAGTTGTAATGTCCTAAAAAAACCTCTGCTCCTATATTGCTACATTTGACATTCTGTTTCTCTTTTTAATATTAAAGTGGCATTTTGCCTTTCTCATGTGTTCAAATGTGCCATTTTGTTGAGGGGTCCTGGTCTCATGGACAGCTTCTATGTATAAAAGCCCCATTAATGTGTTCCCCCAGGATGGGGAGGGAAGATGTGGAAGGAGCTGTAGCCTTCCTGTAATGTAATATATTGCTAGATTTCTATGAAACGCTTTTTCCAAAGTCATTGGGTGGATCACTCTTAGTCTGATGGTCAGATTCTTCACAGCTCTTGTGCTTTTATAAATGTCTATGTAATAAACACTTTTACTTAACAATTTAATCATTTCCTTCAAGTTTACAATTGCCCTACGAACCTCGGGACATTTGTTGCTCGGAGTGGTGCGAATCTATCACCGAAAAGCCAAGTATCTTTTGGAAGACTGCAATGAAGCTCTGCTTAAAATGCAGACAACTTTTCGTCCAGGTATGCTTGCACCCACTGGGAGGAGGGATTGGGGAAAATAGATTCCTCCTTCCTGTAGTTAGATTGGTTGAGAACATAAGCAAAACCAGAGCTATTTACAATTTGGGATGTGGTGAAGATGTGCCTTATTTTCCAGGCCAGTTATAAATGATTCCAGGAAATTTGTCCATTTTAAATATTAATTTTTGCTGTTATGACATTTGTAGAAGTTATCTGGAATAGCATTAATATCACTTATGACTGTGACACTGCAACATTTTCATTTTTTTATCATGCTTGGTGCCATTACATTGTTGTTACATTTATATCCTAGAGAAGATACAGTATATATTGTTACAGCATGCCACAATTAATCCAATGTTATATATTCTCTTTAAGGTCTTGTTGATCTCCCAAAAGGGAATGCTGAGGCAAATTATGATGCCATCACGTTGCCTGAAGAATTTCATGATTTTGGCACACAACTCCCTGATGTGAGGTAAGAGTGTTTTAGCTTGGCTTTGTTTTTGGAGTTTACTTCAGTAGGTTGCCAAGATATTCAAGATTAGCAGTCTTTCACATGAATCACTGATACTCACATTAGGAGGAGATGAATTCACTGCTGCTGCTGCCTATGATGTGCGCTTTTGCTTTTTGGGGGCAGGAGTTACACAAAATCGTACATTATTGCATGCAGGTTTTTGTGTGATTCACTTTACAAATTAATTATTTCTTCTTGCTATTTTATTTATTTATTTATTTATTTATTTATTTATTTATTTATTTATTTATTTATTTATTCAATTTATATCCCGCCCATCTGGTCTGGTCGACCACTCTGAGCGGCTTACAACGAGGAGTATACAATAAACCATAAAATTTAACAAGCCAAGTGTGATACATGCAATAATAGAACAAAATCAATGAGAAAAGAAAAGAAAATTATTGACAGGAGGGAAGGCCTGGACGTACAGTTGTCTCTTAAAAGTGCCCAGTGTAAGGGCCGCACGAATCGCCGAAGGAAGGTTATTCCAGAGGCGAGGAGCCACCGCCGAGAAGGCCCGGTTTCGTGTCCTTTCCTTCCGGGCCTCCCTCGGCGTTAGGCTCTTCAGCCTCACCTCCTGACTAGACTCTTACAATCCTTCATTTTTTAAAAAAATGGTAAATTTGTACTATTACATTTGCACTCTCCTTGCCAACCAGACCCTCAACCCTATTTCAGTATCTGCCCAGCTTTTCTGGGCTTCCTTTTGTTAGTCTTCTATGATTCTCTTAGTTCTTCTTGACTGATTCTCCTGCCATAAGGTAAATGTGTTTTTAGAAGATGGAAAGACCTGGGGTACTGGAATCAGGTTAAAATGGGATTATGAGGGAGCAGGTTGAATCTCAATGAGAATAGCAGTTGTGTAGAGATAGCATGTTCCCTTTTTGAGATCTGTTTACACTGGCAGTGTGCAATTCACATGGTGCTGGAAGTAGCTTAACAGAATTTAAAGGCTCATAGACTCATAAGCAGTTTGTGAGTGAAACAGGGAAGTGCCCCTCCCTACAGATTTTGGGAGAGAGTTCTTCCCTCTCTCCATGTTTAGAAATTTAGGAATTTTTGCTGGAGTTTTTTATTTTATTTGTTTAGAGTCAACATGAGTATTGTTGGAGCGATACACTACTAGAGTTCATATTAATTAATTAATTTCTAACATTTATAAACCACCCTATTAGTGCATAGCACTATTCTGGACAGTGTACATATAAAACAAGGAATACATCAGTCAAATAAAATAGAAATATTAAGAAACAAAATATCAGTGTTTTTATGAGGGAGATGATGGCCTATTAAACATAGGGGGAAGACATCAAACATCTGAGGTTTGGAATGAGATCCCCGCGCCGTTCTGACTTCAGGTTGTCTATGGTATTTCATAACTAAAGTGTGTTGCAGATACAATCAATGAAGGAAAGTAATAATAACATAGTCCCACATTCCCGAATGCTTCTCCACCTTTCCATATTAATGTCACATTGAGTGTTTTGACAGGAAAACAATATACTGTATATATAATTTGGTAAGAATAATTGCCAAAGGCAAGACTCACTGGAAAAACCAACATTGCTAGGAAAAGTAGGAGGAAATCAGAGAAAAATGGATTCACTTAATGAAGGAAGCCACAACCTTCATTTGTGACCCGAACAGGTTTGTGAATGAGAGGATATCTTGGAAGTCACTAATTCAGAGGGTCACCATAAGTTGGAAGCGATTCAACATTGTATAACTACAACAACGAAGAACAACATTGATTAACAGAGATTTTCTGACCACCATTTTTTCTCTTCAGCGCCATTGATGTTGCCCAGCATTTTACACTGAACCAGAGTAGAGTTGAGGACATTACACTGATAGAAGAGGATTATAGACTTCTACAAAGTGACAGTTTTGGTGAGGTAACCTTTTTCGTTGTAAATCAAAATATGAATCATTTGTTTGTTCCTAATTTTAAGTTTTGATTTATTTAGCTGACCCTTGCTCAGTATCCCCATAAAAAACAAGCACTTGCTTGGAATTTCTTGGATTTTAACAGTCAAGTTAAGTCTTGCAGATAGCTGTCCAACACAGAAAAGTTCTGATTGAGGATCCAGTTCAAAAACAAATTAGATATTACTTAGAATCTGGTAGCAAGTTGTAACTGGATCTCATGAGTCAACTCTTCCATAAGTTCCATTCATTCAATGGGCCTGTTCTAGTTATGACTTACTACTGTATTTCAGCCACTGAATTAGTTGTGCCATCCCTTTAATATAATTTTAAGTTCATGTTTGTAAATCTGTAGCCAAAAGGTTCTCCAGCTTTCCCTAGGGTGCCAAACTGTGTAGGCATTCCGGATTTTTATAGATACTGAGAACCAAACTACAAGCTACTAAGTATACACATATTAGACAAAGCAAAACAAACCAAGACAAAAAAAGAACAAAATATCGTGGAACATTAAATATTATCTGCTATATTTTAATGTGAGCTTTTGTGGATCAAATCCACTTCCTTAGATGACCATATAAAACCAGCTTCTGTTTTATTTCAGAAACAATGGCTCGTAGCAACTGAGAGTGGGGGAGAAAACAAGGTGGAGCAGGCAGAGCTCTTTCCCCTCTTTTATTCCAGAAAGTGTTTCAGATGTGAATCCAAATGGTTTTTCAAGTTGAAAGGGGTAGTCAGATAACAGTTGCACCTGTTTGTTTGTAACATGCAGTGTAGCCCTAATTTTCTCACAGGCCCTTGTCACAGCAGGTGGAAGAATGCTAGTAGACATGGCCATCAGATGAAAACTGGGGATAGATCTGGCTTTTATCCACTAGCCCTGATGTTCTTTTCATTACTATATTTGCTTAGAGATGAGTCAATTGCTTAGTTGTCGCTGCACGCTTGCAAAGCTGTTATGCCAGATTATTTAGTTGAAAGGTAAAATTGCAATCATAAACATGCATTTGAAAGTAAACCCCGCTGAATAAAGTGAGATTTGTTTAAGAATGAACAGGCATACCTTTTGGGCCATATGTAGTCTGAACTTCCCGGAATAAGGAGATCATAATTAGTGGGTATTTTCTTGTAAGACAAAAAGTAAATGTCCATACTGTGTGACACAGTCATAAATATTCATAGTTTCAAATTAGCTAAAGGGAATAAAGGAATGTATTCTCAAAGGCTTTCACGGAATAAAGGAAGATGGCCCATCTGGGCTCGGTAGATAATCTTGAGGAGATATGGGATGGCATTTCCTAGACTCCAAAAACTGATGATTTGTTACTCCAATGGAAATCCCACCACAGCAATAAACAGAATGATAATTGTTGTGTAATTTACAATGTTTAATATCAGATATTTAAAGCATTGTTTAAAATAACAAGCACAATGTGATTAAGTCTTTTTTAAAAAAAAGAAAATAGTGGGTAGGGAGATTGGGACCCATAGGACATGGCAAAGGGAGTTTAACTTTCAGTGTCTGAAAATTCTTCCCATTTGAAGGCAGCTATTTGCACTGGTAGAATCATGCTCTTATTACTAATGGTAACTTCAACCCAATGGCACAGCTTTTCTGTTGTCTAGTTTGCCATCAGTGTGTTTGGTAAATTGTCATAATTCTGTTCCAACTTTAAGGACTAAATCCAACTGAATCCTACCCAGCAGTTAAGATCTAGCCAGGGGGCCCTTTTGAAAGAGCTGTCCCTTAAGGAAGAAAGAGGGACGGCTTGAAGACAAAGGGCCTTTTTGACAGTTGCCCCCAGACTATGGAATGCCCTCCCAACTGAGATTCGTCTGGTGCCGACACTGATGACATTTCGGCGCCAGGTCAAAACCTTCCTGTTCCAGAAGGCTTTTAATTGAAATAATATTAGCTGTGGGTCCGATGGCAATTTTCATATATATTCTAATTGTATTTTAATTGTTCTGAATTTTTATTGTATTTTAAATGTTGTAAGCCGCCCAGAGAACTTTGGGTAGTGTGGGTGGCATATCAATTAAATAAATAATTAAATAAATTGTTAGTTCCTACTAGAACTGGTAAAACGATTGAACTTACCTTAGAGTGCCACTACCCAGAGAGCTGATCTACCAGTGATTCACACAGGTAAAAATTAGGTTTCCTCAGGTGAAATCTCTGTAGCCATCTAGATCTGCAGGAATAAGCAAGGACATAGGCAGAGAGCATGGTTTTCATAAACTGCACCAGAGCACAGAGTGCTACTCCTGTCCTCTGAAGATGCCAGGCACAGAGACTGGTGAAACGTTAAGAAGAACAACCTTCAGAACATGGCCAAATAGCCCGAAAAATACACAACAACCATTAGATCCCGGCCGTGAAAGCCTTCGCGAATACAACCTCATGAATGTTTCTTTGTTTGAGATCAGGTGATCATACTGGCAGAAAGCGAACAAAAGTGATGTCAAACTTATCACCCCAAATTTAAATCACCCCTGCCAGTGGAACAAAAAAAGATTATTTCTGGCACAAAAAAGATGATTCCTCAACAGGCTTCCCTGCATTCAGCTTTATGTCACATAGTCAATGTGGTTTAATTTGAATACATCAGTGCCTAGTCTGCTGTAAACTGTGGGGCTAAATGGCCAATATGACTGCCTTAGTTTTCTTGCCTTCCCAAGTTCTAGTTATTTCAACAGCTGCGTTGCAGTTAGATGAGTAAGAAAGTATTGTTTAGTTTTAATGCATCTATTTTAAGTGAAATATTCTTTTAAAACTGATCCCAATGTTATGTTTAAAAGCCTGAAGAAGAGCTTCAGTAATCAATCACATATTTTTCTCAAAGGTGGAGACATTGAAATGCCAAGGCAAAGCGGCTTCTTCAGTGACAGTTTCTTAGTTACTCCCAGTCCCAGTGATGTTTTGGCTGATCACAGTTCTTTCAGCATCACTGCAGACAAAAATGAATTGGATGAATCTTTATCTATATTAAAGCATGATGGGTTTGGAGATGAAGGCATTGCTGAAGATATGATTGGTATGTAAGAACGTAGTCTAGTAAATACAAGCTAATTAAGAACTTCTTCCTGGACAAGCCACACTGAGATAGATTTGACATACATAAAATCTAATTCTCAAATTCTTCTTTTCAAATTATTTAAGTTCTTAAATTGTTATTCCATTTTATTTTTCTCTTCTGAAATTTCAGAGCAATTAATGTAAAAGAGAGAATCCTCTATTGAAAACAAAGTTATAAAACATCTTTAAAAGGTTTGTTCAAAAAATATAGCTTAATAATGAATAACACAATCCTAAAACTTCTACATTTCAAAAGCTAAGTGAGAACAGGACTTCCTTCCTTCCTTTATAGTTAATAAACATATCAGATAATTTTTGCCCAGTAATGGACAACATCAAGGATATTTGAGGCATATACTGTAACATCAAATCTTCCATGGTACATGTTGAGCAGCAGACAGTACATGAAATCACTTGGGTTTTTTTCTGTATTTGCAAAGGACTGTGTTGGTGCAAATCCCTCATTTTCTTAGGTGCACCTGAGGCCTACCAACTCTAGTCTGTAGCCTATTAAGTGACTTCCAAGTAACCCAGTTCTCCATATAAATTAATGGACATGCATCAGCTAGCTTCCCTGAAGAATGTGAATACATTTGGGCATCCCCTGAACAGTGACAGCACTTGTTGGCTGTTCCTTCACTCTAGTACATCGAGATAAACTTGTAAAGGCATGACCAAATATGTGATTATTCCCCATTAATCCATGTATCTTGTACTGTATAATCACAAATACAACCAGTTTTATCATATATACATTTCTGTTTCTTTTAGTCCAGGAAATTCACGCAGTGGCTGAACGTGGCAACATTTCTCCTCCACCCCCACCCTTGTCTAACCTGCCATTCTCCATGGCCAATATCACCACCTTTTATTCTTTTGAGTGTTCTATGCCATCAAATCAGCAGGAAAATAGAAAGACAAAATACAAGATGGACTGACTCCCTAAAGAAGGCCAGAGGCTTGAGTTTGCAAGAGCTGAGCAGGGCTGTTGAGGACATGAGCTTTTGAAGATTGTTCATTCATAGGTTTGCTATAGGTCAGAAGTGACTTGATGGCACAGAACATCAACAGTAAGCCTTCATCACAAGGGCAAAAATGTGCAGCAATTGAAACAGAAGCTTTAGCCCTTAAGTAGGCTACATATACTTTGAGGTACTATCTTTTGGGGATGTCCTAATCATGCCCCTCTCCAATGATTAAGAGAAATGAAGGATTCAAACCCCTGTTTAACATGCTAGTACTTAGCCCTACAGCCATTTGCTTTCTCCATTTTGTACAGAAAGGCAAGACCAATGCTAATGCGGATTATTTCTCCCGACAGGGTCCCTAGGCAGTCAAAGATGAAGAGGCAACAGCCTTCTTGGTGGGTGGGAGGTCATGTGAGGACAGCAGCAGCAGCACAGGGTTGGGAACGCTCAAGAGCGGCTGAGATCCTGTCCCTTTGTTACACAGACAGCATAATTTTAGAGGTGAATTGCTATAAATTGAGAAATCTGTGTAGACCTTGTCTGTTGCATGCCAAGTCTGTGTAGATTTCTTGTGGCAATTCACTTCCAAAAGTTAATGCCATTTATGTAACTGCACAACAAGATTTCAGCCATCAAGGATTTTTAAAAGAAAAGTTGGCAGTGCACCAGGTGCACTTATTGAAAGTGAGTGTGGAATCTGAAACAGAAAAAAAAAACGGTGGTCAGGCAAAGAATGGTGTACTCCTTCTCTGCTGCCACTGCTTCATTACTCAACATTACTGTTGCATATTAAAAATGTGATTTTAATATAGATAAAATGCCTGACCAAGTTTTTTTTACCAAGCTGTATTGCAAAACTTCGTATGCATGAAATTGTGTATAATATATGATGCATTTTCTTAAGACAATGTGCTTGGAGCTGAGCAGAATAGCCTCATTGCACTCTTTGACACGGAGAGAGAAACTCACCTATCCCCAAACCTGCCGGGAGATGATACCATAGGTGAGTGTATGGCCTATCCTGCACCTTCTGAACTTCTATAGTCAGATTTTTTTCCCCTTTGGTGGGGCTAATGCTTACAGAAATTAGTTCACAAAGGTAACTGTGACTCAGTCAAACCAGATGATACTTTAAAGATGTAGTTAATAGCCATGTCTGTAATTACCGTATTTTTCCATGTATAAGATGCCCCCCATGTATAAGATGCCCCCACTTTTGTAACCCAGAATTTCTTTCATTGCAAGAAAATGGAGGGGAATGCAGAGATCAAAATGCTTTGATTCCTGCTTTCCGTCTCCACTTTTTGTTGCAAAAAGTGTAGGAGGAAAGCAGCTTTTTGCAACAAAAGTGTAGAGGGAAAGCAGGAATCACTTTCCCCCTCCACTTTGTTTGCAAAATGTGGAGGGAGAAAGCAGGGACCAAAGCACTTTGATCCCTCCCCCCCCTCCTTATTTCTCTATATTAAAGGGGGAAATTTTGTTTTATACAGCGAAAATACTGTAATATTTTTGGTTCTGCCCAGTGAAGGATAGGATGACATCAGGTGGCCAGGGGTTAAATCCTTCTACACATCTCACCACCAAAGTCCTCAGATTACTCTGGCTGTGAGCCATGTCTTTTTGTTGTTTGGTCCTTAAGTCCTGTCCAACTCTTCGTGACCCCATGGACACGTGACCCCATGCACACCAGGCCCTCCTGTCTTCCACTGCCTCCCGGAGTTGGGTTAAAGTCATGTTGGTAGCTTCGGTGACCCTGTCCATCCATCTCGTCCTCTGATGCCCCTTTCTTCTCTTGCCTTCACACTTTCCCAACATCAGGGTCTTTTCCAAGGAGTCTTCTCTTCTCCTGGGACGGCCAAAGTACTGGAGCCTCAGCTTCAGGATCTGTCCTTCCAGTGAGCACTCAGGGTTGATTTCCTTCAGAATGGACAGGTCTTTTAAATATCATTTAATATGGTCCAGGGGGTAGGGGGTGGTGGGAAAGAATGAAGTTTGTTGTGGTATCCTGAAAATGAGCAGATTTATTATGGTATTATTAGATTTGTGTTTGCTTTGTCAGGTACATGAAGAGTTACTTTCAATTGACAGACGTAAGTGGGTTTAAATGAGGGGGGATGGGAAAGTGTTGGAAATTAAGTAAAAAAAGGAAACAGACGAAATGCAGTCTGACAGTTCTGTAAAAGCTTAATGATAAGCAAAGTGATAATTCCCAGCAGTAGTAACTAATAAAACAATTGTTCTAGCATTGCTAAAAAAATTAATTAAAAACAATAATGGAACAGGTCTCCAGAGATGCTGGAGGAATTTATGCAGAAGTTAAGCTGTAACTTGCTAGCAGCACTGTGTTGCAGAGGCTCCAGTGAAATTTTCTTTCTTTTGAAAAAATCCACAATTTTTTAGAGCGTCTGGGCATACTGGAGGCTGAAGGTTGCAGACTCCTGGACTAAAATGATCTGAACGAAGTTTCTTTCCAAAACTGTGGGATTCTGTGAAACCACTGATTTGGTTCTAGCCTCAGTGGATAAAAATCATAGTTTCATGAATTCTTTAGTCATATTTATGGGCTGCTTTTCTATCCCAAAGTTTGAATCAAGATAATGGTTTCCTGTTAATACAGGTAGCTGTTAACTTAGCAGGGATAGCATGATAATAATTACTGCTGGTATGAATAGTCGTTTTGCTAATGCCATAAGAAAAAAATGTTAGAAGTGCTACAAGCGTCTTTTTCAATAAATTAGGCTCTAGAAATTAAAGGCCAAAAAGTTCCCTGGTTGGTCTTCTACACTCTTTGTGTCAATTGCATGTCATGACAGATAGATGATTAAACTGAATATACATTTTAATAGCCAGCTGATAGCCATTTTCCCCATTCAGAAATAAAAGCTAATGTAAGTTTTACCTTTGCATTATAAATTAAATTAAACATCCACCAAAGTCTGCTTTCTTGTTGGGAATCCCCATCCTGTTTTTTCAAATTGTATTCTGCCATCTTATATTGGAGGAAAATGGACCTCTGAAGAGACATGTGTATTGTATAGAATTACAATATTGAATTCTGTTTTCTTTAGGCTCTGTTACTTTGTTGCAGAGAGAGAGAAAGCATTACCATTAGAAGGAAAAACAATTCCATTGTGTATGTTTCTTATCCAAAGTATACTTTGAAAGGGCTGTATTATTTCTTTCTTCTTCATCAATTAGATATATCAGAAGTTCAAAATATTAGGTGGGAAGATCTAACTTTCTTCATGTATATGTTCAGTCATTAAGAAATAAATAAATAAAAATTCAATGCCCATTAAGTTTCAGTATGTGCAATAAACCTTACACAGGCTTATTTATATTTGCCTTTCCACTGAGAAATAGCATTCAAAGCCTCAAGTTTCTACTGTTTAGTCTTTTGTTATTTACTACACTGCAGAATACGTTTTCTTATTGCTTTGTGGATTGGTATTTTATAGCTACTCCCAGATTTGAGCAGGAAGCAAGAAGTCATCCAATAAATGAAACCACGTTGTTATCTAATGAAGAAGAAGGTTTTGTGCTTGAACCAATTGAAGTTTCAGGTTATATCTGTCATCACCTAATTATTTTTGCCATCTTGAATTATATTATTACAGTTGTTATTATTTTATTATATTGTTTTTACTTTTATGAATTATTGTTAGCTGCCCAGAGTACACTTCGGTCTAGATGAGCGGGGTAGAAATAAATAAATAAATCTCAATTTCTTCCTTGAATAAAAATGTAGTACCTGTCTTACACCATAATAGGAAAAGTCCTAAATACTTTCCATCAGAAATTATCTAATTTCTTATGTTTTGTTCCTTCTTGTTCTCAAAGATCTCATGAGTAGAGCTGGGCACGAATCAGAAAAATGGTGATTCTTTTTGAACCATGATTCATCAAGGCTGACAAATCACAAATCCATGATTCATCAAGGATCAAATCACAAATAACAAATTTATGATTTTTTCTGATGAATCAACAAAATGATTTGTCAATTTGTTTTTGCCTTTAAAACCCTATAAAATGCCACCCAAGCTCCTAGATACAACAAAATCACAGTGTAGCTTCCCTGACTATCCTCTACATCAGTGGTCCCCAACCTTGGGCCTCCAGATGTTCTTGATCTACAACTCCCAGAAGACTTCACCACCACCTCTGCTGGCCAGGATTTCTGGGAGTTGAAGTCCAAGAACATCTGGAGGCCCAAGGTTGGAGACCACTGCTCTACATGCTCTGCAAGATTGGTGACATTTGAGTTTTGGATGCCCGAGTTATACACCCACAAAGAGGGCCCTCCAGGAAAGTTTCCCCCAGGAACCTAGAGACACCAAAATTGCAGAGAGGCTTTCCCTGACTCTCCTCTACAATCCCTCCAAATTTGGTGAATATTAGGTTTCAGACATCCAAGTTATATGCCCACAAAATTGGGTCCCCCCAGAGAAGTGCCCTGTAGCAGTTGGCTTGGGGAAGCCCAATCTTCACCAAACTTGGAGGCATTGCAGAGGAGAGTCAGGTGAAGCTTCTCTGTGACTTTGGTGTCTCCAGGTGCCTGTGTGGCAATTTTATAGCCCAACAAATCAAAAATTGCTAAAAAATTCATTGGGGCCATTGATTTGGATGAATACAAATTGACAAATTAGCAAGTTGTGATTAATTTTGCAATTCATTTTTTAATTTGTGCCCATTTCTATTCATAAGTTTATATCTAACTTAAATACTACAATAGTTTAGCATAGGCATCCTTCAGTCTCGAGAGACTATGGTAACATGCTCTGAATCGAGGAGTGTCCTCTCCAGAGCATGAAGCCCAGGTAAGGTAATATGGAGGATAGTCTGTTACCCAATCAGCAGATCCCCCCTCTCCACATTGCTGAAATGGTCCAATGGAAAGGCAAGGGCCAATACAACTGGTTCCAGCAATGTCGCAGGAGTTGGCAGAACGATACGTGCTGCCTTCGGGACTCCAGCTCCGGATTTTGCCTCGAGGTTAACTCCTGAAGCCTTTTCCATGAGTGGATATAGCCACAAGGCAGTGGAGGTTTGAAATTGGAGTTTTCCTTCTCCTAGATGGGCTGCCTTCCATGGCTGACGAGCCCCATTGACCCGGCCTGCTCTTTAATAGTGCAAAAGTATGATCTAATCCTTAAAACTTTCTTGGCTCCCCGGTTTATACAAATCTAATTGGCTTTCCTATTTACCATATTAAGGCCAGATACAAAATTTGAAACACGCTCTTTTAAAGCAGGAAGTCCCACCCCTAGGCCCCACCCCCAGGCCATGTGGTCAGGAGACAAAAAGAAAGCCCAGGGAAAACAAACTCAGCAAGGCATCCATGCAAACAGACCTGGTACAATAGTTTATTTTAAAAAGTATTAGTAATAGCATCTTGTTAGCATTGCAAATATTACAGCCATGGGAAACCAGTCCATTCTTACTGCATGCTTTCTATGGGCCTAGCATTCTCTGGGTTTGGTTTGTAACATGTTACTTGTGATTGGCTTTTGTTCCTAGTTCACATAAAGAGGCAAAGAAGTAAAAGGAAAAGAAGATTGCTTGTAGATATCGAGAAAGAGATAAGCAGAAGCGCTATGGAAAATCAGTTTATGGACTACAAGGACACGTTAACTACATTAGATATTGCGCCCCCCACAAAAAGGCTAATGATTTTGAAGGAGTTGGGTAGTATGGATAAACTTCTGAGCACACCTACCCAGCCTTTAATTAATGAAGATTTGAAAAAGGTAAGAACTTGGGGTTTTATAGCTCATTTTATTATTCATATTTTGTAGGTTACTTTATTCTTGTTTCATTATACAGTACTGTTTTTGTTGTTGTTTAGTCGTTTAGTCGTGTCCAACTCTTCGTGACCCCATGGACCAGAGCACGCCAGGCCCCCCTGCCCCCATATCTTAGGCATCCTTCAGTCTCGAGAGACTCTGGTCACGTGCTCTGAATAGAGATCTTGGAACAGCATCTAGTGTGGCTGAGAAGGCCAATTCGAGAGTGACCATCCCTTCCACACTGAAGACAAATACAACCTGTACCCTGTCCCGCTCCCTGATTTTGCTGCTTCTGGGACTTCCTCTTTGCCTCAGCCTGCTGGACAAGGGTCTCTTCAAAATGGGAGAGGCCATGATGCACCACCTGCCTCCAGGCTGAACGCTCAGACGTCAAGGTTTCCCATCTGTTGAGGTCTATTCCTAATGCCTTCAGATCCCGCTTGCAGATATCCTTGTATCACAGCTGTAGTCTCCCTCTGGGGTGATTTCTCTGCACTCATTCTCCATAAAGGACATCTTTTGGAATCCAACCAGCAGCCATTCTCATAACTTGCCCAAGCCAACGTAGATGTTGCTGTTTCAGTAATGTATACATGTTGAAAATTCCAACTCGATCTAGGACTACTCTATTTAGAACTTTGTCCTGCCCCCATATTCTGTGGGGATTGGTTCCAATCCCCCCATGGATGCTGAAAACCACAGATAATAGCAAACCCTATACAGTGGTGCCTCGCTTAACGAGTGCACCGCATAACGACGAAATCGCATAGCGATCCGTTTTTCGGATCGCTAATGCGATCGCTTAACGTTTTTTAAATAGGGCTAAATTCGCTTTGCGAAGACCGGTAAACGTTTCGCTTACCGATCTTCGCAAAACGAAGCCCGACGATCAGCTGTTCGGCGGCCAAAATGGCCGCCGGAAGCCCAGAAATGGCCCAAAATGGCCGCGCGCAGCGTTTTCACGCCCTCGTTAAGCGAGGCGAGGGGGCGAAAATGGCTGCCGGCCATTACGAAGCTTCGCTGAACGGTGAGTATTTGGCCCATTTGGAACGCATTAAACCATGTTTAATGCGTTCCAATGGAAATCCCTGCCCCGTTCAACGATGCTTCAGCATAGCGAAGGTTAATCCGGAACGGATTAACCTCGCTATGCGAGGCACCACTGTACATAGCAGAGCAAAAGAAAAAATCCAGAAAAAAATTATTTTCACGTGCACTGGATACACTGCAAAGACCATAGAACAAGTGTGAAGAGAATTATCCAATTATTTTGCAGTTTCAAGGCTCCTTTAACAAGTCATATGCTTCTTTTCTTATCAAATTGGCCTTATTGAAATGCAGAGCTACTAGTTCTACCGCTATATCCCATCTTAGGCATTTCAGGTCAGAGACAACATATTAGTTGCTGAAGAACAGCAGTGGTAATGAGGGTTCGTTAGATCACAATTTGGAACCTGGTTTGCTCTGTTTGTTGGCAGACAGACAATGTACAGCAGGTAGCGAAATAGCCCAGCCCTGCTCCGTGCCCTGACTAGACTTTTTTGGTGCAGTGGCCAGGTCGCTCTTTTTTCTGGAGTGAGCAGGAAAGATTGGGACCAGATCGTATTTGGACAGAAAGGTCCCTTTAAAGTATCTCTTTAAAAGTTGCACCCTCCAAGTGACCCTTTCTGTCATGATCTTTATGTCGTTGTCTGATTGCACCCTGAGTTGTTGCCCACTCCTTCTGGGCTCCCCTGAAGTACTGAGGACTTTTCCCTTGGTCACATGCTTAATCACGCTCACTACAGGATGCTAAACTAAGCAAGCTTTTGGTGTGACCTTAAAGGAGCAGATTTCTTCTGTATTGGACCTAAAGCCTGCTTCCTACCGTTATACATTCCCTTGATGTTACCTGTATCCACTGCTATCTGTATCTGAGAGCAGAGCTAAAGCCAATAATCGTTAGAACACCTCCTGGCAGCCTGTTGGGCTTGGCTACAAGCAGCTCAAAGAGCCTGCAAATTGTACTCACTAGGACAGGCTTTGCATGCTGCTAGAGCTCTCCTCTTTTCCTCAATGGCTGACATCAGCTCCTCTGAATGGGCTTCAAACCAGTCTGCCGTCTTTTTGGTCTTCTCGCCAAATGTGGACAAGGTGGTGTTATAAACAGCATTCTTGAAATGTTCCCATCGTTCAGGTGCATTTGCATCAGCCAGGCCTGGAAGGGTTTCTTCAAGTGCTTGGGCAAATTACTCCACTTTTCTTTGATCGCAAGTCTTGCTGATGTCAATAAGTGGTCTTCCTTCCCTTTTCATGTGATACAATCTCTTTGTTCACAGTTGTACTCTACTACACACCAGGGAGTGATCAGTATCACAGTCAGCACCCTGATAACTGCATGTGATTGTAATACTAGGAAGGCTACAGTGTTTAGTGAGGATCAAAGCAAACAGATGCCAATGCTTTGATCTTGGATGTCTCCAGGAAACTCTGTGTTGAAGCTTCATATTAAAGAACATGTTGCTGGCACAAAGTCCATAATAACAGCAAAACTCCAGCAAGCGTTGGCCATTTTCGTTCATCTTCCCAATGCCAAAACACCCTAGACAAGTGGGCCAAGAACTGTGATCAGCACCAACTCTAGCTTTAAAGTCTCTGAGAATAAACAGCAGCTCTCTCTCTGGAGATTTTTTTATAGCAGCTGCCAGATCATAATAGAATTCGTCTTTGACTTCTGTTATGGACGACAGTGTTGGTCCATATGCACTAATGAGGGTGACTGGTCCTGCTGATGAGTGGAGCTGCAGAGACAGGATTCTTTCACTCCCCTCAGTCGGTGGAACAATGGATCTCAGTAGAGTATTTCTAACCGCAAAGCCAACACCATATTCCCTGGTGTCATTCAATGGTTTTCCCTGCCAGAAGAAGGAGATTTTTTTCTTTAACAGATCCCGAGTCTGGCAATCGCGTCTCTTGCGGGGCAACAATGTCCATCTGCAGCCTATTCAGTTCCATGTCGATGACAACTGTCTTGTGTGTGTCGTCTATTTGCTATTTGAATTGAAACAAAATGGGGGGGGGGGAATTAATTGAAGCTCTTGAGCACAGCTTCTATTGTTTTAGCACTCTAAATACTGTATTACCCCTGTCTTCAACCTGAGATTTTTATTTATTTTATTTATTCTATTTTATTTATCCTCTATCACAAGAGGCTCCATCTTTTAAATCCCAGTGGCCTGTCTTATTCAACAGAGTCCACTAAACCTAGCAACATGTTTCAAGAACTTAAGGCAGATATATTTTAAAGCTCTCCTTACTACAGTAGATTGAAAAATCTAAGGCTTGAAAGAAGGACCTTATGAATATAAACCATATGTTCTACAATCATACTTTGCACCTTTGGTTCCCAGAAGCCCTACTCAGCGTGACAGTGGTCATGGAATCCGAGCATTAATGACAGATTTGTTGAGTTGGGACCACGAAGGCCATCACATAGCAGCAGTGAGAGATCTAAGGCTAGGAGCTGCTGCTCTATATCACCAAACTATGCCTTTTTCTTCAGTGATTTCAGGTTCAAATGTTTCATGACAGTCTTGGCACTTATTATTTTCTCAGTATTGTAATTGCTTATGGTGTAGTTTTACATATGGAGCATTCATGAACATGTGGTTTCTCTGTTGACAAATTTCTGAAAGAAAAGTTTACCTTAATAATATGGCTTGGTTCAGTCACCTGGAACAAAGAGTGTCTTGTGGCATACTTGCCACATGGATTACAGTTCATTAGACTAGCAAAAAGAAAAAGAATCACTTGAGGCTTTGGTGTGAAATTGTCTAAAAACTATGTATCAAGACTGCATGTCAAATTATAAATTAGACATTTCTCAATATCTGCAAAAAAATTGTGATGGTGGCAGAGGAGGCTAGGCAATATAACTATTATATTAGCTGTACTATACCCTTTCTTCTGTGGATTTTTTTCTTGATAATATGAAAATCGTATTCTAGAATTTCATAAAAAAAACTCATGAAATCTGTGTTCTGTCAGCTGTTTATTAGAAGTCTCAAGAATGAAAGAAAAACACTTCAGCAGGAGGCAGAAGTAGAAGAACGAAGCAAGGAACAAGCTGCTAAAAGTAGGATTTTAGTATTTTACATCTAAAATTGTTATAGTTCTTTTATTTGCAGCTCTTTCTTCCCTAGAGCGGTATTGCGTTTTCTTCGTAATTCTGATGGAGAACATTCAGCAACAGAGAGATAGAGTAAAAGTAGTACAACTGCTATAGTGAAGAAACAGGTTTGGGACAGAGAGTAAAATCTGGATTCTTAGAGAACTTCCTTATGCACTTTAGAAGCCTTAGTAGCCAGATGGATGGTATAGAAGTTAAATACCCTGTTTCCCTCAAAATAAGCCCAAACTGAAAATAAACCCTAGTATGATTTTTTAGGATACTCGTAATATAAGCCCTACCCCAAAAATAAGCCCCAGTTAAGTGAAACCCCGCCCTCCACCCTTGTGCAGCCACCAGAAGAAGATGACATGACTGCATTTGAATAAATGTAGTTTGCTGTACATGAAAAAAATAAAACATCCCTTGAAAATAAGCCCTAATGTGTTTTTGGAGCAAAAATTAATATTTATTTATTTATTTATTAAATTTATACCCCGCCCCTCTAGACCATGTCTACTCTAGACCCTGTCTTATTTTCTGGGGAAACACGGTACATACATACATACATACATACATACATACATACATACATACATACATACATACATACATACATACATACATACATACATACAATACATACATACATACATACATACATACATACATACATACATACACAGAAATCAATTGCTATTTTTATCTTGCTTGCCATCTTGCCCATTTACTCCTTTTACAGCCTTTCCTTACAGCAAAACAGCAATCCCAGAGTAGTGAGTTTGCCTATATTTTATCAGTGTTACTGAAAACAGCAATTAATAAAAATTATTTCTCTCCAGAATTTACAAGAATCACAAAGAGTTGCTGTGGTTTTTGCCTCACTCTAATATGAATATGCATTTAAAATACAAAATACGTTTGATCAGGCTGGGATGCACCATAACATGGGCACATATTGGAACAGTCTGAAGTTTTATTTACTATATCAAACCTACTGGATTTCTTTTCCACCTTTTCTCAAGGCTGCTGACCCATGTCAGTTATGTAAAATCTGTGCAAGGGGACTCTGTCTCTCATTACCAGAGCAGTTGATTGATTGGCACAGTGGACAAGAGACCAATAGTAATTTTCTTTTCTAACTTTTATTGTCAATACAGAGCCAAGAGAAGAAGGTCCAAATAACCTACAGGACTCGTTTTCTCTAGAAGCTCGGTCTTTGTTGCAAAATGACAGAAATGAAGAAAATAGTAATGTAACTTTTGAAGTAACAGTAAGTATTCTCAGTGCAAATTAGTATTGCTGTGCATAGACAAATGATATAATTGTGAGGGTTTGCCTCACAATTATAACAGAATATCAGATCCCTCCTATATTTAATTCAGCTTCGACATAAAAGAAAAAACTTTTCTGACACTTTGATAGTTTTTTAACCAATAAGAAGGCCAAGGAAATGGCAAATGTTTGAAATCTGACATTACAAGGCACTGCAAGTGGCAGTGTAAGTGTAGTGGCTAGAGAATGGCTCTCAGACTTGGGAGATGTCAATTCAAATACCTGCTCAGCCATGGAAACTCACTGGGAATAGTAAGACAACTCCCTATATACCTCACATGTATGGGAACTGCGCTGGGAGTGCCATAAGTCAGAACTGGCTTGAGGACAGATAGTATATACGTACACACATACATGTGGCAAGACTACAGATTGCAAGAAATACAAAACTAACACCACTTTGTGTTTCTTTCTCCCATTTTCTTTTTAAATTCAACAGTAACAGAATCTGTGGCACAAATGCTGAAATTGTGTTGCACATCTACTTGTGCAGTGAGGATGATTTCATAATCAGTGGTAAATTGCCACTGAATCAATGCGATTTCAGAGCACATGTGACTCATATACAAGGTGGCAATATTTTTCTTTCTTTTTCCAGCATCCAAGGGGTTGCATTGGGGATTAATGAATATAGCTGGGGGGGGGGAGGATACCACATAGCACTTTACTCACCACTACAGATAGGAGAGCTTGGGCTACATGGCTACTAGCCTTTAGCTCATGGCTACTGAGGAGAATCAGCAGAGGATATGCCATCGCTGTGGTTGCCTCCTGTAAATTTGGCATGTGTTGGATTCTCATCCCTTATGCATTAAAATTATAAATTAAGCCTCTGCTGCTTAATACAGTATATTAAAACATTTCCCCACCCTTGTTTTGCAAAGCTCTGGGTAGTTTTCTTTCTTTCTTGTATCAGGATTGTATGTAGGTATCAAAACTTTTGCCAGCTGAATTTTGGTGAGTTCTTGCTTCTTTATTCATATCAGAGCATTGCACAATTTAAAATTATGCGCACATATGAAATATAGGTAAAATTAAAAACAAATGAAAATGTTAAGATAGTTAGACTTGTAGTTGACCATCTGCTTAGATCTATAAGAGAAAAGGCTCAAAACTCTTAGGTTTGCACCAGGGATTTCTTAAACTACAATACTCATTCCACAAAGTGAAAAACAATTTGACAGGCCAGGGACCTGGGAGTTATCACAAGACCGGACTGAAAAAGGAAATGACAGAATACCTATTGGGACCGCTCAGGTGTATTTTCAGTTAGTTATAGTCTAAACATAACTTGGATATATAATTTCCCTCTCCCAGGCTCTGGGTAGCCGGACTCTACTCACCTGTAGACTCCCAGTCTTAAACAATGACTGACATACAGCCTAGGTACAGAGACAGGAACAAGACCTTGCCACAAACCTAGATGCCCGCTGTGTGCCAACACATCTACTGTTGTTTGCCCTAACAATATTGCTCACAATATCTGGGGCTTGTTTACTTGTTCATCCGTCCATGTGATTTATGCCTCCCTTTGCCAGCAGTACGACTCTGCTTTCTAGATAGGACAGTTGGGACAGCCTCAGTGCAGAAGAACCTATAGACACAAATCTGACATCAGAAATGTCAACACACGGAAGCCAGTTTCAAAACACTTCAGTCTCCCAGGATACTCTGTTACTGACCTGAAAGTAACTCTAGCAGGGGGGAAAAAAGAAATTACAAAAGGAATCTTCAGAGGGAAAGAGGGTTCATACACAGATCCCAGAGCCTGTTCCTTGTTCTTTCTAGATTCCAGAGTGTGCCAGAAGGAAAAGATCTAGGATTCTTGTCGCTGCTGTTGTTACACACTCTCAAGTCACATCTCACTTATGGCAATCCCAACATGGTTTGCCAGGTATAGAAAATGTCCAAGGATTATTTAACCATTTATCACCTTCTAGTGAATTTCCACAGCCAAGCAAAGCATGAAACCCAAAAAACTGAGTCCCATTCTGACACTCCATCCATTGCATTCATCTCTTTGCTTACTATGCATGTTAAGGAAAAGCTTTATTTACTGTCTTGTGTTTAGACAAAGCTGTTGTTTTTGGCCATAGAATTAGAAGTTGGTTCAGAAAAATATAATCTACTTACTAGCTCAGTATGTTGGTACGTTAAAGACAACCTATACAGTTACTTATTCTGTCTGTGCTAGGAGGGTTTTGTAGTTTACACTCTCAAAGCCCATTAACTGGTATTAATAATACTATTGCCACTCTATACTTCTATTTTATGTGCCTGTATCCACCTTCAATGAGTTTCTACCTCTACAATCTATACTTTCATATGAATTTGTGGCTAAATATTCCACTCCAAGAATCTGGGAACAAAATCTAACACTGAAATAAATCCGTCTTTAAGATGCCACAGTGGTTGTTTTTGTTTATGTTATATATGCCCTTTTATAGTGTACAGACTAATTTCAGAGGCAGCACCATTAGCAAAGCAACTTGGTCACATCAAAGTCAAATTTATGTGCTTGTTTTGTATGTGAAAAAAAATTAACATAACACTAAACACTGCAGGGCAGATAAGTTACTGCATGTCATGCCAAAGGAAAGCAATTTAGATCTTGAAGGAAAAGGCCATCTGATTCCTTTTGCCCCCCCCCAGGCCAGTCCCTCCTTCTCTTGAGTCTGCAAATTATACCATCAACCCTGCCTTGTAGAGGAAAGTGGATTATGTTATTCCTTATAACTAGACAGTGTAGTGCACATGAGTTGTGCAGAATGAGTTGTGCAGGAAGTTTTTATTTTTGATGCCTGTATTTCTCTAATATGAAACAAAGAGAACTCATTCATAAATAAAGGAGGGAAGGAGAAGATCAGCAAATACACACTAAAAAAACCCAAATAAACATCCATGAATTGGATGGAGAATTTTTTTTCATTTGGTACATCCTTTGCTATGGGGGTAATAATTTTGTGGAGCCTACCTAGCTCCCCAGCAATTCTTACTTGACAAAGTTTAACAATAATAATAAAAATATGTCATACAGGAATGTGTTTATACAGTTCAAATATATAATATCATTTTAAGCTATGGATGTATACACAATTGTTTTTATTACCAAAGAAATTTTCCATTTCCCTCCCTGGGCTCTCTTGGGCTCCTCCAGATGGGACATTTGTACCCCCTTGTTTTGTATACTTGACCTGAGATTTATACAGATTTACCAGGATTCATGGCCAAATCAGATTCTGAAGCGCTCCCAAAGTGCTTTAGTACAGTTCCCTCGTTTCTCTTCTTGTGTATTGCTGTATAACCTCTACAAACAGAGTTGTAGCTGTAAGTCCTGCAAAGTCTTCATAGGCAGCCAGAATTTGGGCTGTGAGTTCCTTGCCAGCTGCTACTAATGTGCCACCTCTTTTTTTTATCATGTGGTCCCTTAGCTCCCATGTTCTGTCTTTTTTTTTAAAAAAAAATTGTAAATGACCACAATTCTAAACTGACACCCTTGGATACAGGAACTATGGCCCTACAGCATTTACAAGTTTTTTAAATAGTTTAAAAAGTTTTTTTCTTCAGGGAAGAAGTGACCCAAGGCTGCACAAAATAAGCCATGACATTTGGCAGGGACAAAAAGGTGCAGAAACCCAGGGGAAACAAACTGTTTATACCTGCATAAAAGAGAAGGGGATACAGGTGCACTCTCTTGCTCTCTATCCATTTGTGTTCACATTCTTCTGCTTTTTTTGTTTTGTTTTTCTTTCCTCTGGTGCTTTTCCCTTCCCTTCTTTAACAGTGGTGGCTGGAAAGGCTGAACTCCTACGTATGTGCACTTTGGTGGGAGTGAATCTCAGTGAAGTCAGAGGAACATACTTCTAGACAGCTATTCATAGCATGGCATTCTAGAAGGAATTCTTGAAGAAGAGGCAAAAGCTAAATGCAAATTTTATTTTTAAAATATTTTTATTGAAACTGTTTACCAAGTTACATTCCCGTTCTTACAGGAAAATCTAATAGATCCTGCTATTGGTTGGGCATCTGCCACTTTAGCAACAAATTGGCCCAAAGAGCACTTGAACCACAACACTGAACACAACAGCACTGTCTACCTTTAATTATACATCTGCTGCTGAGTGATGAACATGTGGGGGAAAAGAACATAGCACCAAATTAAATTTTGTTTACTGAGACGCTGATTCTTTTCTCTTCCCTTCTTCTAATATTAGGAAGCTGCCAACATTCTGTCCACTTTGTCTGATGGTGCTTCGCTAGATGTCTCTGTAAGACAAGAATCTGAGAATGAGCAAGCTGCAAAAGAAAATGTGTGTCTGATTACTTCTGTAAACTTGTGAAAAACTAATTAGTCCATAGATTTCAACAGCTCAATGTCTATCCCTAAAAATAATAGATGAGATGACAAACATTTGTGTCAGATCTTCTGCTTCTTAAAATTGTGGCAAAATGCAGCTGTGGCAGGTGGGGAAGGATTTATTGGAGAATTTTACTTGTTCCTTTTAGTTTGCAGAGTATAAGGTAGAAAAACAACAGCTGAGTCTCAACAACCCCCTCCCTCCTTGGTTTCTTTCACACACAAACTAGCACTTTGTATGATAAAATTCCTCTAGAAGCATTTAAAGTAGAAAAAGGTATCTTTACTTACAGTTAACCATTTGCAGGTACAGTCAGAAGAATAAAAGGGGTGGGGATGGAGTCTGCAGCATGTAGAGAGATCCTCCATGCTTCTTCCTTGGTTGGAGGTCAGATAGAAGAAGAAAGCTATCAACAAAACAATGGAAGCAAGCAAACAAAACAGGAAAAGGGGATAGGGGATTGCCTGAAATGTCAGAGGTGGGAAAAGAACTCTATCAATCAAGTTAGTGCCTGGAATTTGCGGGGTGGTGGTGAAGGTAATCTCTTGCAACAAAAACAAGAAAGAATCATTTTGGACAATAGCCCAGTTCATCAGCCATATGAACTGGCACCAGCTGCAATTGCCAAAACTTTATGCCAACAAATTCTATTTTGTATTTATTTACCTTATTTCTATTTCATCTTTCTCCCAGAAAGGGACCTAAAATGGCTAGGGCTAAATGTATTAGTTTATACAGCGCTATAAGGCCCTTGGCTGCTTTTCACAGAAAAGATCAGTGTTAAGGAAAAAAATTAAAGGAAACAAAGAGATGGTCATACAGAGATGTTCTGGTAAGCAGCCCTAGGCATCAGGGGAGGCAGCAAAGGAAGGGGACAGTTGGAAGAGGGGCTTGATGGAGCACGAGATGCTTGCACATCTGAAATCAGTACAGCTGGGCAAACACAAATGTGGGAGGGGTCTTTCAGATATAATATGTGCTCCGCTGTCTTCACATCCTTTTTGGTGACGAGATATCACAGAGCTGGACTGGAGGTCCACTCTAACTAGAAACTGTCACGTAAAGATGCTTCAGGGCTTGTTGATACATCATCCCATCCTCTCTGCTGAAAATTGCAGTGTCCCAAAACTTGTCATGTAGTTACACCTGTGGAAGGTAAATGATGTAACTCAACAGTGCTTTAAAGAAATCCCCACTTGGATTTTTGGACACTCACTAATTCATCAGACCGGCATGTGCCCGAAAATCCAAGTGGGAATGTTAGATGCCAATGAAAAGCCACTGTGAGTTATGCCAACTGCCTTCTGCAGGCAGAAGTACACAGCAGAATCTTGGTCAATAAATAGCATTTTCCTTTGCTCCTCACCCAGTGTTAGCAAGCATATTGCATCATTACCACAGGAGTTGCTTTTAATTCAATTTTAACTCATACTTTTTGACAAGAGCTTATTTGTGAAAAAACAAATTGTCATAAAGTGGTATATAATAATGTGAGTTGCAGCTAGTGGTGAAGTTTTGCTCAGAAAACGGTGAAGAGACAAATGATCAACAGCTTTCTTCAGTGCTTTTAGAGAGTACCATTCTTGATCTAGATTTTGCTTGGGTGGCTGTTTTAAATAATCAGCTGTGTTAATCTACAATACAGGAACTTCAAGGGAGTGATCTAGAGAATGAAGAAAAAAGGAGATGTAAGAGAACTCTAGAGTTGTTACATATTTTCCAGGTAAGATATACGAGATGCCAAATGGTTAAAAAGAACATGTATTATATTTATATAATTACTGGGTCTTTATTGTGATAAAGCAGTTATACATAAAATAAGCAATTGAAATCAAGGTAAATAAACATTTTATTCTAATGATCAATTTTTAGAAATGTCCTAAACTTAAATCCAATGGTTAGTCCCATCCTGGGCAGTCCCAATGAATCAACAGAATCTTGTTAAGTCTACATGTACCTCTATGTCATTGACTCATTGACTATGTTTATGACTCTATAAGTGTCATATAAGTATATATGTACTGTATATATATGTGTGTATGTTTAAGTATATATATGTAAATGATGACTATAGAGAAGAAAGGGGAGTAGAGGCGTAGACCATAGGACCCACTTATAGAGTCATAGAGTTGGAAGAGACCACTGAGGCCATTCAGTCCAACCCCCCCACCATGCAGGAACATCCATCAAAATACTCCCAACAGATGGCCATCCAGCCTCTGCTTTAAAATCTCCAAAGAAGGAGACTCCACCACCCTTCAAGGCAGCCTATTCCACTGCCGGACAGCTCTGACCATCAGGAAGTTCTTCCTAATGTTCAGATGGAATCTCTTTTCCTGTAGCTTGAAACCATTGCTCCATGTCCTAGTCTCTGGAGTTCCTGGGTACAACCACAGAAAAGAACTCATGTGTTATTTATGGGCTTGCCAGAGGCATCAGATTGGCCATTCTGTCTAGCTGGCTCACTCATCTAACCTAGCAGATCTTTTCTTGTGGTCTTAAGATCCTTTTTACCCTGTCCTCATTCCTCCTAGCAAGAATTGCACCAACTGTAATGCTAAGCTATCCAGCCTGTGTTATCTAACTGCTTACTGTCATTACACAAACATCTAACTTCATGGCTTTTCTTCCCTTATTGTTTCCATGTGCAGCGCATGGACCAGACAGGTGCAAAGTCTTTCAGTTTTCTGGCCCTTTGTAGGAACAACAAGAAAAAACAAGTTGCCAGCAAGTTCCATAGCTTGCTTGTTCTGAAGAAACAACAAGCTGTCAAATTGGCTCAGCCTGCTCCCTATGCAGACATTCTAGTGACAGTGGGTCCAAAATTCTATGTTCTCTGAAGGCTGGAATGAAACCATCCTTTTAACCGTCAGCTGCTCTGACTGAAAAATGTTGCCGTTTCAAAAGTTCTAGAGACAACTTCATCTCTCCTCTGAAACACGTGACAAAGAGATCTGCGGGTGGTATACCTGAAGAATAAGAATAAGCAGGGCAGAAATATTTTATTATGGTTTTTTAAAAGAGGAACTGTTTAACATGCCTTTCTAGAAGTAGAGTGGCAAACTAGAAGAAATGCTGTTTTAAATTTTTTTTAAGTGCTCAGCCATAATATTTTGCCTTTGTTCTATGTTTTATTCCTCTTTTCATTGGGAACAGAAACAGATTTAACTGTTTCCTTTTCATACGTTATTCACATTGGTTAACACAGATGTGAAAAAGCAAATGGCACCACCCACTCATGATGCTCATCTCTGATAAAAATGGAAATGGAAATCTATGACACTTATATTCTTCTGAGGGTGTGTGTGTTAACACATACACACACACACACCTTCATGTTGGTTCCTTGCTTGCACAATCACAGGAAGGTCCCAGAAAAAGTGTTATCTGCACCCTTACCCCACCCCAGGTCATGTGCCACATAACTTCAAACATATGCTGCCATGCAGGGGCCACCTAAGGAATGATAGTTTATATTTTTAAGCAAATTAGATGTTTTTCCATAGAGCCCTTCTTAATTATGATGTTCACGCCCATTTTGTGTGTCTCCTGTCTACAGTCTTTGTATATTTTTGAATTTTTTTGTAATTCTTTTCTGATCAGAAGTGCTAATGGGATATGCAAAAAGTAGTATAAAAGCAATGGTGAGTCTATAATTTCCATTTTCAGGGTGGAAGGGGGAATTTTGTCTCTAGGCTAAAATCCTTAGAAAATAGTTTAATGACTTGTTTAAACTTTATATTTTTGTGTTTAAAATACATAGTTAAATATTTAATGTGTTCTTTTCCCTGTTTTTAAGATATTCTGACATATTTATTCTATTAAATGAATGCATATTTCCCCCCCTGAGGAGTCTTTAATATTGTGAGAATGAATATAATACCTTCTGGAGTGGAATGCAGTCGGCATAATAACAAAAATGTTCTAAATAATATTTTAAAATGTCAAGGTTCAAAGTAGATAGACATCATGGTTGAACACTATTTATTTAAATTTGAGTTTTTCTAAGTGGACGCAGCAGGGAATGAGGGACCTGGGGTTTAAAGTGAAAGAAGCAGGCAGATATGAATGCTAACTCTTACCCGCAGTCCAGTTTATAGTTTATATTTTAATAATCTTCCACCCAATTTTCTCCTGACTGAGGTTCCAAAACCTGAAGTGAGCTTGTGTAACACTTTTAAGTTCTGTGGAGCTATTTGTTTACTATTGATGAAATCTGAAAATGCAGTTTCACTGAATGAGTCTCTTCTTACTCAGTTCTATAAACAACAGCATCAGCAATTCTAACAACAAAATGCTACAATTTGTGCACCAAAGACTTTGGAAACAGCACCAATACAGGAGATGTGTGTGGAGTTTTAAAAGTTCAAGTGTCCCTTTGATTTCAAAATCAGACGAAAATCCAAGATCTTTTCCTCAACTGGGTTGGATATCTGTAACACAGGAGAATCTTTCAAAACCGTAGAATATAATGGCAATGTAATTGTATGCAATTCATGAATTCACTATGTAGATTCATCCCTCCAACACAAACATATAGGAATTATACCTAAACCAAGTTGGCAAGGTCTTCAGCAGTCCAAGAGGCAACAGCAGCTCCAACCTTTTCAAGTCTTCCGCTCTTTCTGATTCAGATCTCTTATTCACAGCCCTTCTTTTTCTTAACCCCAGACTTTAGGTTGAACCAGTATTTCATAGGGGTTACACATGGTTTGGAATAAAACATGCAGAGCAGGATCTTTATTTATGTGGAAAATAAACTCTGTACATGAAATTTAACACCACCAGAGGACTATAGAGTTTTATATTACCTTGAAAATCATCTCCTGCTTTCAGCTTGCTGCATGGCCTATAACACAGAGTGCAACCCCATTACTGTACTTCCTCAATATCAGTTGCCTAGCATCCGTTTAAATATCTTGATATTCAAGTAATTCCCCGTCCGTATAGCACAGTGGTTCTCCTCTGAGGCAAGCCTCATTCCAATTTACAGTCCATGCGCCCATTCTGCAGACTGTACTGCAGAGGCAAAATTGTCTGGTTTGCTGCTTTGGTTTGAAAATGTAACAACAGTCTGCAGTCTCTCTTCAGGTATGTTCAGCTGGAGCATCTTGGAGAAAATGTCTGAGAGCTGAAGTAGGGAAAACATAGATGGGGAACTACAGGTATGGTGGGGGAGGCGATACTCCTGCCCTGATACTGATTTAAGGTAAAAGTAACATGACACTGAATCAGTCTTTTGCCTGAGTTTCTCTTCTTTCTTTCCTCTCTATTTTTCTCTTAAGAAGGGGAATCCCAAATGTGGATTTAAAATGTCCATTTACTGTTACATTTAATCTTAAAAGGCACAAGGTATTTGTCTGAGCAGAGGCAATTGGTGACAGTTTTGTGCACAGTAGAAGTCCTCTCTCCATTCCATCCATTGTAATTTTGCTAAAATGCAACTCAGTTATTTTTTGTGTTTCAATCGGTTAAGTTTCCTTTTAAAGTAGAATACTGAGATAAAGTATTGATCCAAGAACCAATATGATAAAGCAATCAAAAGTATCCTTTTAACTGGAAGTAAAGAGAACAGAAATTGGATTAAAGCATATATTTCCTTAAAAACTAGGATTCAAAATGTGTGATTCTCATGCTTGGTAGAATATCAGTAATACAGTAACTGTACTATTTTTAACTATAGACCCTTTCAAGTTCTTTAAAAAGGCTAGCACTCCTCTCTTCTTCTGCATCATTTCTGCATACACACACCCATATAATTTATACATCTGGCAGTCAAAAGCTGACTTCTTACTTCCCTCGATTGTCATTTTATTCTGGAAGCAAGAGACATCTTATACATTAATAGGCTTTTTAAAATCTTGTATTCATTTCAGGTGTCTTCATGAAATTTTGGGTAAGTTGGATTGGCCTCCAATTTTACAACAGTGTAAGGAATAATATTCATTGCATTGACAGTGAATGTGGCTGGATTTACATGAGTAATTAACACAGAGAGATTTTAAAAAACACTTTATTGTGCTTTGCCATTCTTTCCCTGCTAACTGGAGAATGGTGATGTTTGCATGAGTGATTGGTTAGGATCTGTTTTTTTAATTTTTTTTAAAAAAATGTAAATTATTTTTATTTTATTTTTTATTTTATTGGAGTTTGTGCTAGGGAGATGTGTGGCTATTTGTGGGAAATGAATGCACCTAGTGGAGAAGAAAGACGTGGGTGCATGGGTCGGTAGCATAAACAGAATGAAATGTTGAATGAAATATCAGAAATATAATATGTAATAGATAGCCTTTAAGGTGCCACATGTTTTTGTTTTGTTTTGTTTCTTTAGATTAGGAGTTTTAACCGGCCATTCTTTACTGTTCCACCTATTGCCTTCTGTAATTACATTTTTCCAATTTTTAAATCTCCTGCCTCCCAGCTATGATAATGGTGTTGAAAAACTACTCAAGGAGATCAGAGAAATGAACGAGAAGGCCGCACAGTGTGAGATTCAAACCGAGAAATATCACTCTGTGACATACCATGTTTCCCCGAAAATAAGACAGGGTCTTCTATTAATTTTTGCTCCAAAAATGCATTAGGGCTTATTTTCAGGAGATGTTTTATTTTATTTTCATTTACAACCATCTACATATATTCAAATACAGTCATGTCATCTTCTTCTGGTTGATGCACCAGGGTAGAGGGTGGGGTTTCACTTCATAGGGCTTATTTTTTGGGTAGGGCTTATATTACGATCATCCTAAAAAATCATACTAGGGCTTATTTTCAGGGAAACAGGGTATGGGGGGGGAGCAGCCATGCTAAGAGATAAGAACCGGCAGGAAATCAGCAGTGATGAAACTACGTCCTTGAACTTAGCAATAACTGAGAAATAGGGACAATAGGAATGAAATACTGGACCAGTGGAAGCTACAGAAAATAAATTGTACAAGCTGGCTTGTTCACATACTGTAACACCATTCTACTTATTTCTTCACTGCAGATTCTTCTGAGTTCTCAGAATGTGACAGTAGCTGCTGGTAGATGTATGAAGTGACCATTTTCTAGATGCAGGGGGCATGAACTATCACAAAGATACCTTTGTTGCCTTAAAAGTAGGAGGCACAAACCTGCAAATGAGGATTGACGTGTTTTAAAGGAAGGCACTGAATGAGATCCAGTTTGGAGTAGAGAGGTGGCAGGTAGGGGGGGAAAGATGCTCTGCTCTCAATTACTTTCCATTTTCCACAAACCTATCCAAATCCATGCAGTTAGATGCAGTTTGACTTATCAGATGGCATCTTTCAGATATTGTCATGGTGAAATTGGAGAGAAAGGGTGAAAGAAATGTGATATCTTTCCTTCTCTTTCACATTTTTAGATGCATGTTCAGTCTCCACTAAGCCTTTTTTGTTTTGTTTCTTTGGATTTTGCCTGATATTCTTTTTTGTTTGTTCAGCCATGCTAAGAGATAAGAACCGGCAGGAAATCAGCAGTGATGAAACTACGGCCTTGAACTTAGCAATAACTGAGAAATAGGGACAATAGGAATGAAATACTGGACCAGTGGAAGCTACAGAAAATAAATTGTACAAACTGACTTGTTCACATAACACCATTCTACTTATTTCTTCACTGCAGATTCTTCTGAGTTCTCAGAATGTGACAGTAGCTGCTGGTAGATGTATGAAGTGACCATTTTCTAGATGCAGGGGGCATGAACTATCACAAAGATACCTTTGTTGCCTTAAAAGTAGGAGGCACAAACCTGAAAATGAGGATTGACATGTTTTAAAGGAAGGCACTGAATGAGATCCAGTTTGGAGTAGAGAGGTGGCAGGTAGGGAGGGAAAGATGCTCTGCTCTCAATTACTTTCCATTTTCCACAAACCTATCCAAATCCATGCAGTTAGATGCAGTTTGACTTATCAGATGGCATCTTTCAGATATTGTCATGGTGAAATTGGAGAGAAAGGGTGAAAGAAATGTGATATCTTTCCTTCTCTTTCACATTTTTAGATGCATGTTCAGTCTCCACTAAGCCTTTTTTGTTTTGTTTCTTTGGATTTTGCCTGATATTCTTTTTTGTTTGTTTCTCTCCCTTCCTAATAATAATTTTTTAAACTTCTGCGAACCCTGCAGTCCCCCAGATATGCTGATATCACTCTTTTGTGCTTGAAGGATGGTTTTCATGAGCTCACTGTTACTAGGTAGGATAGATGTTATTGTCTACACAGCAGCTGGTGCCTTCTGAGATTGACACTTATAATTTAATAAACCTTGCCTTAGAATCATATTTAAAAGAGATCTCAATGCTCATCTAATGTTGTTGCAAGAAAGCCATTGGCACAGCACCTACAAAAAGTCACCATGCCACCTTTTCTTAGAAGTTTCTAAAGGAGAGGGCATCTCTTTAAAGGCAGACCCTGTCCCACTATCAAAAGCAAGTACTCTGACAAAGTTCTTCATAACTGTTATTTTAGGGTTAATGCATGACACTTTATAGGCCGTAAGCATACTACAGAAATAATTATTTTAAATTATATCCTCCCTTTCATTAGGGGTCCAAGGTGACTTAGCAAATCAGAATCATAAGAATAACATAATACTAGAAAATAAAACCAGACGGTTTCACGAAGAGTCGGACACGACTGAACGACGGCGACAACCAGAAAATAAAACAGCACATTACCTTGGGGGGGGGGGGGGTTACACTTGAATACATGAAATAGCATAGGATACAACAAAATTTGCCGGCAAGATTTCCATAAGTTGCATTAATATTATTATTATGGCCCATCAACAGAAACCCAACCCTTCTCCCTTTCCTAGGGAGAAAATGCTCAGAAGAGGTCTTCCTTTCTTCTTCTAGGGTTGCCCTGGGACTGTGCAGCTTGCCCAAGGCCACACAAGCTGGCTCTTCTCCCGGGAGGCACAGTGGGGGGAATCAAGCTCCCAATCCAGATATTCCAACCACAAGCATAAATTTCCAAGAGGATTCTAGATGCTATGAGCCAAATAAGAAACAACAAACATTAAGGAGGCAGAGGTCAGTCCAAAACTCTTCCTAAAAACAAAACCCTGATCTTCTGGAGGACAATGTGTTATGGATTTGCCCATCAGATGTTTCCCTTTCTGCCATCGCTTGGTTTCACCACCCCAAACTGTTTTGTTTATGTGTTCGTTTGCGATCAGCTATTTTTGGTTGTATTATTTTATTTTTACTTTATTTTGGATGTAAAAACCACCCAGAATAGTGCCCAACATTTATATAAGTTTATGAAATAAATAAATAGAGAGGAAGCAAATGCGATCCACTCCTGGACAGATGTTCCAGAGCCCAAAAGCCACTGCAGAGACCAAGAGCTCTAATAAGACTGCTCAAAGTAGGATTTGAAAGCAATGGACCCTCCCATGTACCTGGAACATCCCTTTGGATCAGAAAAATACCATCTGTGATGGAAGTAATCAGTTTAATTTATATATCAAGGGGAACCTTTACCTTTATCAAGCAGCCTATAACGAATGCCACAAAATGCACATATCTACCCAAGCCAAATTTTCTTATTTCTTGGCTCAGAAATATGCAAATTTCAAAATTCTCTCAACTGTTTTGTTGTTGTTGTTGCTTATAAATCATGAATTATATGGAGGTCAGGAACTTTTATTTGAAAAATGTATAAGACTTCTGAGCAAGGAAAAGTGTCTAGCTGTCCATTAAAATTAAAAATGGTATATTTAGACTGTGATCCTGTATGTATTCAGCTGAGAATAAGGCCCACTGAATATAATGAGGTTTCTGAATCATATAGAATTGCAGGCTCAAATTCTACCATACTTTACACAGGTACAAATAGCATAAGGATAAATTTCTGCCTCATCTCAGAAGACCTATGAAGCAGTTATAGTTCTATACGCTATAACTGCCTGGGTTATTTTTTTTTCTGCAGTATCATGTCATGCTTAATGGAATTTTGCATCTTTCCTTTCCTGGGGCAGCAGTTTCGTGCTTCAAAGTTTCTTGTTATTCTGCTATCAACTAGATTAAAAATTGCATGGTGGGGTGGGGGAAGGGAGCTAGGATGAAAATGCAGTGGAGAAACTCCAACGGGGCTGACAGCTGCCTACTTCATCTTTTTTGATGCTGTCTTCGGTTTAAAAAATAAAAAATGAGGTGTAAGCCACCTTCTGCCCATTGCATCATGCATTGCCATCAGTTTTTATTTATGTACATAGCATGATCATGGTCTTGCATAAAAATATAAAATTTAGTATGTATATTAAAGCAATTCAATATGGAAGATGAAAAGAGGTGGGGAAAATACCGTCCGGGGTACAGATAATGACTCCTTTGAAAGAGAATAAGAGAAAGCTAATTAGCTAATGCATTATTAAAATGAATTATGCATGTGGTGTTGTCATGTACAAAGCACTAGTGAATCCAGAGTTTTATTTACTTTGTTGCAGCTGTTGTTGTTGCCAAACACCTACCGTGTTTCCCCGAAAATAAGACGGTCTTATATTATTTTTTGCTCCAAAAAACGCATTAGGGCTTATTTTCAGGGGATTTGTTTTTTCATGTACACCTACATTTATTCAAATGCAGTCATGTCACCTTCTCGTTGCTGCACAAGGTTAGAGAGCAGGGTTTCACTGAACTGGGGCTTATTTTTTGGGGGGGTAGGGTTTATATTACGAGCATCCTGAAAAATCCTACTAGGACTTATTTTCAGGTTAGGTCTTATTTTCGGGGAAATAGGGTAGCACATTGTGAGGTTTTTACCTAAAGAGCGGCATTAAGGGCATGGTCTAATGTCAGGTATGCCTGCAAGAGAGAAGGGGCCAGTTTGAGAAAATGAAAAGAAGGTAATCAGACATTGAAAGAAGGCAACCAGACAATGGACAGGCAACCTCTTGGCCTCCCGTTCCTGACCAGGGCTCCCCCTATATTCAGACACAGTTGCAAAAGAAAACGAGGGCCAATTTATGTATGTGCAAATAAATCACGCCCTTCAGCTCCCCGAGAGCTCAGGGTTTTGGTATGCACTTAGGTGGTGGCGGTGAATGAATGATGAGGGACTGAACCCAACTGTAGATGCTTGTCAAGCCTGCCCTGGAGAGCCGGCTTCACTCGGTGGCCGCGCATCCTGCCTCGGTCGTGCCAGACCGGGCAGAAGAGACACGGGAGAGGATGGAGCCCGGGCCTGCCCTTCATCATCCCCTCCGTGGCATCATTAAAAGGACGAGCCGCTTTCTGCCCAAGCCTAAATCTTTGGCTGCAAATCCCTGGCACGGGAAGAAGGAGGGAAGCGCCGCGGAGCTCCGCAGACCTTTCCTTGCGAGTAAAAGGGGGCGCGGGGGTCCTTTTTTAGGACTCCAGCTCCCGGAATCCCTGGCTGGGGGATTCTGGGTGTTGTAGTCCCGGAACGTATGGTTGCTGGTCTCCCTCTGAGCACTTCTTGAGGGAGGGGGTCCCTCCGGAAAGCCAGAACAGGGCGGTCCAGGTGCTGCCGGCCCGGCTGTTCCCGAGCCGTTCGGACCCGCGTTCCTCCGGCGGCGGAGCAGCTCCTTTTCTGGCCCCGAGACGACACGCCTGGCCGCCGGTCCTTCCTTTTCTCGAGTGACGATGCCGAGCGCCGCCTGCGGATGATGGGGAGGCGGCGGCGATCCCTCCCCGTCGGCCGGCCGCCTCTTCCGCCGGCTTTTCCCCGCGCGCTGTCTCTTTAAGAAGGTTGCGCTGAGGGAGCCTGCAAAGTACGCAGCTGCTGCTGCTGCCGGGGGTGCCTGGGCAGAATCAGCCTTCCTCCCCCTCCCTCTCCTCCTCCTCTTTCCCCCCCTTAGTCGGCACCAGCCGGAGAAGAGCGGAGCGCCCCGCCGCCTCGGCTGCCGCAAAAGCCCCGGAGGCTGCAAGGGGGGAGAGAGCATCCCGCCGAGCAGCATGGAAGAAGACCCCGGCGCAGGTGAGGCGGCAGAGAGGGAGGGGGGCAGATCCTTTGAGGGTAGCCGGGAAGGACGTCAGTGCCTCGGACCCGGGAGCATCATCCGGCTGCAGCTCTCCTGCTAGCAGGGATGTCTGGCTCTTAACTGCTCCTCCTTT